TCTGCTATTCCCCCTCCCACTGCACTCATACAACCCCACACCCTCTGTTCCATTTACAGGTTATTTCCCGAAGTACCTTTGAGTACGTGTTTAGCTGCACTGTCTTAAAACGTGTCTACATTACTGAGGTGCAGGGTAGGATTAACATTCAACTTCTGGAATAATTTGAAGGAGGAGGTCAACAGATTAAGTCCCCTTCCTCAAAGCAGCTTCTCTTAAAACTGGCATTATACCAGCTTTTGTGCAGATGCGTCTCAAATTTCATGCGCACTCTATATATGTAAGTCTTGACGTATGTATGTATACACACACACACACACACAAAAAATAATCCACAATGTGCCTGGTACTATTCTGTTCCAGAGGAAGCAAAGGTAAAAGTGGAACAGAGGTGGGGGGGAGAACGTTCCAACAGTTAAAACTTGGTTCTCTTGGATATATGTACATTTAACTCACAAACCAGAAGTTTCCACTGGAAACATAAAAACCAGAGCGCTCTGTAGTCTGTCAGTTCTCACATGAGCTGGGAGTCTCGGGGGTCTCTGTAGTAGCCATTGAACCTGACCTCCACCCAGGTAGGGTCATTTTAAATTTGACTCTTGGCACACACCCAAGAAAGGAAGACATTCAGAAGCAATTTGCTTTTGTCAGAGTTCTGCTTTGTTGTCATTTGGGGAAAATGTAACCTAAATAAAGAGGAAGATACAGAAGGCACCAAAACTTCCTTTTGTGTAAAGCAAACATAGTAGATGTGCGAACGTCAGCAGTGGGAGGAGAAAGAGGAATTAGGAAGCTGGGGGAGCCATAGGAAGTGGAGGAAGATGATGGGGACTGGAAAAAAAGAGCATAGCAGGAAGAGGACCAGAGATAGAAAAGGGACGACATCACCAGTAGCAAAGCAAGTACAAAATATCACATAGACCTATATTCTTCTTCCCTGTGAATATCCTATGACCCACTGGTCCTTGCAGCAGTGTACTTATTTCCCTATAGAAGACAGAACTGAAAAACACTCCCCCTCTCAAGATGTCTGGGACTGGTTTCTGTAATTCCCTCCTCTTGCCCCAGTGTGAGAGCTGGGCCTCTCAGAAGCAGCATACCACTCCAGTGGTCTACCTTCCAGTCCCTTTTATTGAGATCTGACAATCTCTGTGGATATGTGAGTTTATCCTCCGCTACCTGCTCTCCCCCTCTCCCTTTCCTGTGTACCCTACAGAGGGAGTTGAGATGCTGTAAGCAGACAGCAAACTGGAGTGAAGAGCTAAGGACAGATGTGCTTCACTCTTCATTTCTGTCAGGGAAGAGAGAGGATGATAAAATTCTTCCTGAAATGAATGGAGCAATTCACACCTCTCAGAGCTGTTGTTTCAAGCTACATTTATGTCTCAAGCCATATTCATCTCCATCTTGTATTGTCGCTCAGCTCAGGACATCTGACTGTGATGAATAGGTCATTTCACACCTTTCTGAAAAGTCTTCTGTTTAAAGGTCAATTTCTTCTAAGTGCTCTATAATCCCCATGCTTATCTAACTGCCTTGAAATCTGGCACAGTTACTGCAGGTGGTGAGTAGAATTATTGATCTAAATCAGAGGTCATCTGAGTCAAGAATTCCCAAGATACATCCTTTTTTAAAGAAACAGTGTTCCTTAACGTTGTCCAATTGTACCAATGTTTCCTTTGTGCACACATCTAGAATAAAACTGTGGCCAAAGAGTCTCAGTTGCTTAACATTTACCCTAGCAAATGAAAGGCATCAACTGTTTCCTTGGTATTCAGAGTTCAGAAGTTTTTAAAAACTTCAGCTCCACACATGCAGTGAATTAAATGCTCCGGACTTCAGGGAGTTCCTGACCCTTTGAGTAGGTCTGAGCATCTCCTTCTATTCCTAAATAAAACCTGGGAAATCTTTTTCCTTAAGAGGAGGAGGTTAAGAATCCTTCTTCCTGCACTTACTAAGTGCTCAGAAGTTAGACGTGAATTGCATTTTGAAAATCAAGAAAAATAGGAAAAGAAAAGGTATGTCATACCTCTGAAAATAGTTCAAAAGAGATAGGAGGAAGGGGACAGGTTAGATAGGTCAATGGAAGCCTACTCTAGGCTCTGGTGGCACTCAGCTCAATAAGGTTATAACAGCATCAACAGCTTAGAAAAAAGTATGTACATATCTACCGTGCAACAGCAATGATATATGCAAACAACTGTAGAGCACCAAGTATCTGCCATACAAATGGTGCTTAAAGTACCAATGACTTAGTGAAACAGGAAGGCTGTATAAACTGAAAATGGCAGCAAAAAAGGTTGGGGGAAAGGGAAGGAAACACAAATATATGTTTCCTCTCATGTGCTTCTAGTCACCGTAATTACTGTTGAGATGCTGAGACACAGACCATATCCGTGAATCTTTTCACTGGCCTTATCAGCAGCAACACTCTCAAAGGATTCCACTCCAGGACCATAATTCCCATGTATGTTTCCAAGCATGTACAAAAGAGAAGGAACATTTAGGAATGACCAGATTCCTATACATAGATGCAAATTTTTACCCGCTTTTTACTGCTCAGCCTGGCACACCAAACAAGTTTGCTGACTTTTTCCATTGCAACATCACTGGAAAAAAGCTGCTTTGCATCAAGTTGTACGCAACCTGACTGGCACAGCATCAAAATGAGACATGGTTGAATGGCCTGACTAATTCCTTAAAGGACTTTCATGTTCCTTTTTGCCTTCCACCACACAAAGGAGGGGCTCATCTCAACAAAAGTGACTGTAGTAGAACCCATGTCAAGAAAATCACAACTCTGCTAAGCTGCTCCAGTGCATGTCTCTACAAATTTATTTTGAGGTGGATACCAGTGTACCTACAGTGAGTGAATGGGAGGGTCTGCAGGTGTTTCTTTCCAACTAATGCACCTTAGGTTTATATTTTCCACGTGGTGGAAGCTGCAATACTATCAAGCAATCAGTGATTTAATTAAGGTATTTTCAGTGAAATTCTGCCATTACTATTTTGTCACTTCCCTTCATTTCTCAAGGGTTGACATTTTTCAGCACTAAGAAACTATTAATTTAATTCTCTAAATAACTTCAAAAATGAACCACATACAATTTTACAAACAACTGTGCATTAGTAAATAAAAGTTACCATGGAACATGTATGGAAACATACATTAGAATGCTAAAGGTGTTTGTTATAGTCAGTGTTTTAAAATTGAATGCAAGATGAATTCACAGTCATATGATATAATAGAATACTATTGGAAACATCTACTCCAAAAGTATGTATACAGTCACATACTTGCATAGAAATTACACAGAAATTCAGCCTAAATGATGCTAATAAAACAGAACATAAACTCTGACAAAAAAAGACATAAAGCAGTAATTGAAAGAGCAATGAGGTAATCTGATGAACTAAACACTAGAGATATAAAAACAAATTAGAATTCTAGCAATTCATTCAAAGAACAACTGCTCCTTGAACTTTATCTTCTTATTCAGATATTGCCCATAAAAAAAAAAAAACAAACCTGCATTCAAAATTAACCACAAGCAACAACCTATTAAGTAATTGATCTCTGGATGGCAAAACATCACTCTCATAAGGTACCAGAGTACATCAGATAAATGCCATATTAAATGAAATGAACGCCAAGTAATAAGTCAACACGAACCAACTTTGATTAAGTGTCAAGAATGTAAAAGCTCAAAAGTAGGTCAAAAGATAACTTTTGCCTTTCAAGGGCTTAAAACTCATAGGAAGAATGGGTTCATCTGTGCTATCACAATACATTTGTTATACGAAGGCAAGTAAAAGATGAGTTTCAAAAGTTCATCATGAAGAGTTGTACCATAATTATTTGAAAATGCAAAGTCACCTGATACTTCAGTATTTCATCAGGGGCAGGACACCTGAAAAGGGACAGGAAAGACAGAGACAAAAGTGCACCTGCAACAGGAATACGCAAAGTCACTCCCTCTACAGCCTTTAATGTAAGGTGATTCTGGTTCTCAATATCCAAAAAATGTGTGGGGTTGAGAGGAAGGGGAGGGGTGTGCTACTGAAACTCTTCTCTTAGACAGAATGAAAAGGGGCGCATCTGACTTAATGCTCCTAAAAAAACAAACAAAAAATTGCCTGAATGATAATTGTTACACATTTGTTGACAAAGACTCATACGGGCCAAGTGTCAAAACAATAGTGTGAGTTTTCTTGAATCATTGACAACAGTAGCTATACTGTCTCTTCTGCTTGTCCCCCAAAGTATGAAGTGTTGCTGAAACCACCTTTGGGTAGCTTTAGACAGATTAGATTTTTTCTTATGTTATATAAATGTATCATCCTTTCCATTAAACAGAAGAGCACTCCACAGAAATACGGCCTTCTCAAACAGAATGAGGAAGATAACTAAGCTATTCTAATCTCTCAAATAAAAGGTTCCTGAGCTTCCTCTTAAATAATTTTTAATTAAAGTATTTAATAGGATTATTCCCACATAGAACACTAAGCATATATCCTTTTGATTTCAAAAGGATTGACCCAGGGAGAATTTGGGGCACAGAGTACCACAATACAGAACCAGTAGTGAGGGAGTAGCATCAAGTGGAACTCCCTTAGATACAGCAACTCTCAGTGAAAACTTTAAAATCCCAGTCATAGCAAAAGCAAATGGTGCTCCAAGCATTTTATTTCCAGGAGTTACATTCATCCAGGAAAGCAGAAAGCACTGGTTGTTTTGCTAAAATTCAAGTTAATGGTTAAAAGTAAGTTAAAATGATTTCTGAAAACTTAAATCTGTGGTCTGGCTTCTTGCTAGTCCACACTATAGTCTGTGTGCAAAAAGCAGTATATTTATCATCAGTAAGTGTTCCCAATGCCCTTTTTAAAAAATAAAGTATCTCAAAAGAGTAAAGTAAAATTTTCACATGATGAGAGTTTCTTATACATGACTATTTGCATTAACAGACTAAATGTCACTTCTTCCCTTTTAATTAACTTACCGGGTTGACAATATGTCAATAAGTTCTTTTCTGTTCTGGACTCTGAGTGTATTAGTTCTGTATCTGGAATCCTTACTAACTTCAGGCAAATTCAGGATCTAAGTAAAAATAAAGGTGAGTAAGAAATGTGCTTGGCAGAAGATATTTATATAGCTAAGGAAATTCATTACTGATTTAAGATAGCTTTCCAAAAATCCTTACTTCTCATTAATCTTTTAATATAGAGTAGTAAATTAAGAAAAGATAATGCCTCCTGGTTAATGTTACATAACAAGTACAGAAAAAGACATAAATTAAACTGAAGATCCAAATCTTAGTTGATAGCTTTCACCATTAGCTAGGAGAAATTCTTATTGTAGAACACTAAAAAGTTTGTAAGTTATTACTGTGAGGTTGGAGAGATCTGTGGGATTATCCTGCACTGAGTTATATGTCACAGAATAAGAAATATGACTGTACTTCATATGGTAGACTGAGAAAAGCTAGGACAATGTCTAAGAATACTTCTTTCCACCTCAGTAATTTCTGTCAAAAAGGCAAAAAAAGTGAAAAGATGTTTTTCTATTGAAATGTCATAGTTTTTCTTTATGATTTCTTCCAAAAGAATTAATAAAGAAAATAGGTGGTATAACCTCTAAGAAAGGAGAAATATATCTTCTATATGTAACTCCCACCTGGCACATTAGAAATTTAACCATCATGCAAACACAATATGTATTATACTATAAAGGGAATTAAATGTGGAGAATGAGTCTTAGAAATTTGTAGAGGCATTTATGAGACAGAGTAGCTGTGTGGACAATCGATAATTACTATATATCTATTCATGCCACAATGCATTTATATAGGACATAAACAAACAGAATGAATTGTGCTTTCTAAGTCTAATAAAAAATATCCCAATAACATCAGCTACAGAGGAAGGCAGAATAGAAGCTTACAAAGAAAGAGACTGTCACGTATTCTTCATGTATTTTTACTCACTAACACACGCTCAAGATCAATTTTTTCTTATGATGAGTCTTATAATCATTCTAAACATGCTACATTTTTTTACAGGGCCATTTCCAAGATGGGTTACAAAAAACCAGTACTGGCTCAAAGCTGATGTCCCTATAGCCCATCATCCTATCTCTGCCTGTGGCTGAGCGCAGATGCTTAGGAAGAGCTTAAGAACGGGGCCAGTCCTTAATACTCATCCAAACTCCAGCCATCTTTAGATTAGGGCATTTCTGAGTTGGAGCTGTTTTCTATGTATTTAGCAATCCTCAGTGGATGTTTGCTTTATTAATATGTTCAGTTGCTCCTTGAATCCATATGCCTATGTACTACCACATGTAAGTGATACAGAGATTGGTGTCAATCTCTCTGATATTTGCCTCAAACCTAAAACTCTACTAATTTCTCTGAGACTGGTTCAGACCAAGGCCACTACCATTTAATTACTCCTCACTTTGCTGGAGTGAATAAGGATATGGCTTCTCTTCCAAGTGAATAGCTGTTGATGACATAAAACAATCAACAAAACAGATAATCTTTCAACAGATATTTGGCGATATTCAAAACAGTCACCTTTGACATGGTTGTCACCTAGAGTGACAAAACTAAGCATGGAAACAAAGGTATCAGTAAGTTATGTTAGAACAATGACCATATTACATAACTTTTCTGCAGATTTTTATCTGCAAGGTAACATAAAACATCAATCTTCCATCAACACTTAATTCACAGCGTATTTTCTTTTCCTTCTATTTTTACACAATCCACTTTATGAAAATCACAACATACCACAATTTAACTTTAGAAAATGTTCTTTTCCCACCTGAAAGTTTAACAATAATATTGGTAGCCCCTTAAAATTATCTCTTCTTTTTAATACTGCCATTTTGGAGTTACAAATCACTGCTTCAGAGAAAAAAATCATGCAAGGTTGTTCAAAGTAAATGATAGTGAATACTTATTTATGAGAGCTTAAAAAAAAACCACAAAAAATTAATCAGAAACCTACGGTTCCATTTGATGACTTATATGAAAAATGATCATATGGAGTTGCTCACTCTACTGTTTTAATTAATGTTACTGACTTCAGCTTTAACTTAATGTCCATCTGTTGTAAAGCTGCATTTCTATATATGTTCTTCTCAATTTTTTTGTGACTAACAAATGCACATTTGAGAAGTTATTCACTAATGTGCCATTCATCTTTCTGCATCACGCTGTTATTTTCTTTATTTCACTGTGACCACTTGGAATGAAATTGCTGTTCTCTGTTTCTAGGCCTCCTTCAAGCTCTAAGATGCATATTCAGAGTTTACGCTCTCTGCATTTTGTCCCCCCAACACTAGCAAACCTGTTTGTACTCTCCTTTGCTGTACAGAAAAGCTCAGTCTTTTGAAGACTCTCGCTCAGTATTCCTATTTAGACCAAAGCAGCCACACATTAGGATGTGCTTTTCTAGCACTTGATCACTATGTACTTCAGCCAGCAGTGTTACAAAGTTTTTTCTTCAGTTATCCAAGTCCCCAAACAAGCTACAGTTAATTGTCATTGATTTTGAAAACACCACAGTGAATTATTCGTTTTTTCTTTCTGCTTGCCTGAAAAGATATGGTTGAAGCAGAATGTTTGCAATTGTTTACAGCTTGAGCCAGCTGTTACATCTCTAGAGTATGTGTCTTCAGGGCAACAGCTTCCATACAGCCTGTATTTTTAGCACCAACTCGTCTCAGAAAGGTTCTCTAATAGCAATTCCAGTGTTTGAATTAGTGGCCTCTGCATTTACTAAAGGTTCACTAGGGTGTTGCAGGCCTTCCTGTAATAAAGTCCTCTTCCTTTATTGGCTCTCCCCTTCACGGTGTTTTAAATTCCAAATCACCTTCAACTTAGCACAGAACATAACTCTAACAGGTTTCACAGTGTTCCGCAGACTTCTGCATCACTCCATTTCTGGTCAACGTAACAGCCCAAATCCATACCTACAATAACTCAATAAGGGTAAAATGACTGCTCTTTTTAAAAACAAATATGATAACTGGTTTATAGAAAAATCTAACCATTACCCAAAACTTGAACTATTTTTTCTGGGTTTTTAATCCCTTTGAAATGAGAGCAATCATCATTTTCCCATGTTCTGTACCTCCCACTTTCAATTCTAGAAATACCAGAACACGTTTATAAGGATGAAACAAAAAACCATCAGCCTGCAGACTAGGGCTAATATTCATCTCACTTAATTTTAGTCCTACAGATTCTGAGGGAACACAAATCGTAGAAACGTTGCCTCACCTTCTGGGGTACCATTCACTCCTTACTGATTACAGAGGGAGTACATAGCACAAAGTCACACCATAAGTCCCTCAACTGCACCCTGAAGTGAGGTGAATGCATGGTCTGAATTTTTAGTGCCTTCTAACTCACACCATGGTGTCAGAACCTCCTGGGCCAGATCTTCAGCTCTGCCTCACTCAGGGGTGGCAGGATGACCAGTGTTTGGTATGTAATTCTTCAATTCAGGTGACAAAACACCAAGAAGACATTCACAGCTACATCCTGGGACTTTCTGGAAAGATTTCCTTTATAAGACAATGAGTCTTTGATAAAACTGAGTTGTGGTAGGTAGACACTTATGCAGTCATTAGTCTTCATTCATTAAGATAATGACCACAATGTAGCAGTTAGACACCTGTATGAAGAAAACCCACTGAGCAAACTTTGAAGAGGTTAACTTGTTACTTATTAAGCGAGCCAATTCAAGCAAGCAAAAGAGACCCCATCCAGATAGCAAGGTGAGGATATGTACCCCAAACTGTACTAAGAGAGAATCACAACAGCACTGTCTTCTTATACATATTCCATTTATTAGTTGTGAACATCCACGGAAATGTGAGATGTCTGACATGAAGAAATGGAGGAACATAATGCTCAATCTCCTAGTGTGATTAATTTAGGTTAAATATCCAATTTCCCAGAGAAAAACCACAGTGGCAGGAATAAGGTAGAACTCTCATTTTTAAAAATGTTGTCTAATGGTATGGTATATGGAAAACTCCTTACATATTACTGGGGTCTTTTGTTTGGAATGCTGCTACACTTTATTTAGAACACTTTTTTCCCTACAACCACTCCTTCTCTTTTAAAATGTATTCACTGTACAGGGAAAAGCAATTCCAGGTATTAAAACAACAGGAAAAGAGTACGTGAAAAATCCAAAACTATTTTACAACTTTCCAAGCTACTCTCTGTGAAAACAGAATTGCCAGTGTTGTGTTCCTTCAGTTCAAATACCAGATTTTGAATGCAGCAGTCCTGTTTGAAGATTTGTTCTTCAACATCGTATCTCTGCACCACTCCAAAGTCAGTCCACAGTCCTGTAATAGTTCTTTTCTAAGAAGTCCACAAGTTTCTCTGTGAGCACAGACCAGCACATACTAGCATTCAAAAAGACTACACACTCAGCTACTGATTGAAATGGCACAAGAACCATCCATCCCCTAGCTTTACTTCATTAATAGCTGTGCCTACTGTGTATTTTATGGAGAAATAGTGACACATTTCTTCCTGAAAAAGGCACCAGTGTGACTTCTGTGACATTCACCATTCCAGAACTGGAAGGTTGTTAGCTTGTTCGTTTTTTAGCTAATTAGCTGTGCAGCTGCACAGACTTCAGAAGGGGTTCAGCACCCACAAGTTTTGGAATTAGGGTGTTCTGAATACAGAGGCAAAGCACAGAACCCACATCAGTCCCCTAAACTACCAGCCAGAACCCCAGGGTTAGAATTTATACTCGCTGCTTATTTTCACATTAAAAGGGAATTAAGAAGCAATCGGTAATTATTTACTTAGTCCAAATGGAAACTATTACACATTTCTGTACTGTCGCCTAACACACCATTACCTTGCACACAGTGACAAACTGCTGATCATTTCCAGCTCCCACCACGATGTAGCCATCCTTGGTCTTAAAAGCCTGGAAGAACAAAGATAAGTGATAAACTGTAACTAAACTATAAAATATTAGCACATCTTTTAAGTGAACTTTGTAAATAATGTTCAAATTACTTCCTTAAACATTTCCATCCAGACCCAATCTCTAGTTCTACAGAAGTGGCTCAAAGTCATCTACAAGGATGGATGCGGCCCTACTGATTTTTCTCCAGTTTTTCTAGAGTTGAAAAGGTACCTTGGTTAATAGTTTATTTGCTGAAAATGTGCCTTGAGGCATCCTGAAATTTGCAAATGAGTCCCACACTTACAGGGACTGAGAAGGATTTACCAGGATAACACTTACTTGCCAGGAGTTATTTATTCAGCTTCGCTCTTAGCCTGACTGAGAGCAGACAGCTGCACTGAGGTGTCACAGACCCTGACCAAATATGCCAAAAAAAAAATTGCCAAATAGCAATGACAAGTTAGGGACTCTCAAGGGGATGAAAGGGATAGACTGCATCTTTCCAGCTCTTCAGCTGGAGATTAAGCTATCTCTCTGGTCAGTGGTCTCAAGACTGAGCTCCTGGAGAAAATGGGACTTCTCTTCCAGCTTTGAGGATTCATTACAGTGGCCTTACTATCACATTTCATGGTGAACAGAGCATTTAACTGGGTACAACATAACAGCTTTCATTTCAGTCTAAATCATCTCTACTTAGATTTTCATTGGAAAAAAGAAAATCTGTAATTGGCATCATCCTCAATTTTTACCACTGTGTCATGGCATCTTCTAAAATTGGATAACACAAACAGATTCCCCTTTCCTCCACGCCTCTCCCTTACAAGGGTGTGTAACTGCAGTTTCAGTCATACGCGTTACAACCACAATTTTCGCAAGCATTTGGGAAAAATCCTTTCACTATTAATCTGACTACAGTGCAAAAGGCCAGCACAGGCTGGTGCACTAACAGTGATGAGGCCTTGCACTACTTTCTTGCAAAGAGCAAAACTCATGTTCTATTCTTGTTTTGGGTTTGTGTGGTGCGTATTTTTGGTAGCGGGGGAGGGGCCGCAGGGGTGGCTCCTGTGAGAAGCTGCTAGAAGCTTCCCTGGCTCCAAGTCGGACCGGCCTCTGGCCCAGGCCGACCCCATCAGTGACGGTGGTAGCGCCTCTGGGAGAACAGATTTAAGAAAGGGAACCGGCAGTGAGTGAGGGGATTGGAATGTGAGAGGAGCCCCTCTGCAGACACCGAGGTAGGTCAGTGAGGAAGGCGGGGGAGGAGGTGCGCCAGAGGAGGTTGATGCCCCTGCAGCCCGTGGTGAGACGGCAGGCTGTCCTCCTGCAGCCCACGGAGGGGAGCGGGGGAGCGGAGGCCCCCGAAGATGGCCGTGACTCCATGGGAAAGCCCGCGCCGGAGCGGCCTGTGACTGAAGATCGGCCCGTGGAAAGGACCCATGCCAGGGAAGTTCGGGAAGAACTGAAGCCCACGGAAAGGGCCCATGCCAGGGAAATTTGTGAGGAACTGCAGCCCGCGGAAAGGACCCACGTTGGAGACGTTCGTGAAGGGCTGTCTCCCATGGGAGGGACCCCACGGTGGAGCAGGGGACGGGTGAGGAGTCCTCCCCCTGAGGATGAAGGAGCGGCAGAGACAAGGTGTGGGGAGCTGACCCCGACCCCATCCCGTCTCCCTGCGCTGCTGCAGGGGAGGAGGTAGAAAGAACCGCGAGTGGACTTGAGAGGTGGGGGGAAGGTGTTCTAAGGTTTGGTTTTACTTCCTAATATCCTTGTTTTGATTTGATTTGTAGTCAATTAAATTGATTTTGTTTCTTCCCCAAGTTGAGCCTGTCTTTTTCCTGCAACCATAAGTGGTGAGTGATCCCTCCCAGTCCTTGTCTTGACCCACAAGCCTGCCTTTATATTTTCTCCTCATCCCACCGTGGGTGGGGCAGGGAGGAGCAAGCAAGCAGCTGCATGGTGCTTTGTTACCGTCTGGGCTGAAACCATAACAGTTCTCAGAAGTCAATTTTTTTATGAGCTATCATGTCCTGATCTACAGGTGTGAGTGCTTACTATAAATTTTAGTAAAATAACACCGTGGGAACATTTTAATAATAAAAAGTGTTCTTAAGCCACTGTGGCTTACTCTTCTTCACGAACAGGAATATGCTATTCCAACTGGCAATCTTGCATACAGATACAACTACATCCACACTAAGACTCTTTCACCATCTGGTATACTCAAAGCTTCAAAACTATATGTGGAAAATTATGTCCACTGAAATGCAAGTAACTGTACATCATCATTATGGTATCACTTGTTTGCTCTTGCTATGTTTCATTTCCTGGTAAATAGAACTGGTCAGTGATAAAGTTTAGCAATTTATTTTTCGCACATTTAATTAAGCACTTCAGTCTAAGATGCTTAGCAAGCAAAGATGAAATTCAGCAAACATTTAGTCCCAAGCATGCAAAAAAAGTCCCACTGACTTGGCCCAAATACAGTAAAAGTCTAGAAGCATGCATAATAAAAAAGGTACTGCATACTCACACTGAGGAAAGCAATGAGCACAGAAAAAACTGGGGAAAAGAATACAGAAAATAAAGTTGTATATGAATGCATAAACATTTTTTAGATGTATCTCTTCATGCAGATTTCTGTCTAAAACAATTGTGACAGAACCTGGTCTAAGAATATGTAAGACACTTCCCCTCTGCAAACAAATAGCTTTTAGTAGGAATAGCTATGAACTAAAACTGTCAGTATAAATTTACTACCTTTAGTTACAGGCAAGATCTGTTTTCTGAACACCCTGCCCAAATCCTGACCTGTGTTTGCTGATGCTCTGAATTCTAAAACCAGCCACACACATTTCACACAAATTATGGGTTAAATACTACATGTATCTGTGTGCATGTGTAACACGACATAGTTTTTATTGGTGTGACCACCTACTACTATACAAATTAGAAATTCTTTTACACATTCTTTTAAACTTCTAGTCTGGATGCCTGTTACAGATTGCAAAGCCTACAATATATGTTGTATGTACTTATATACAGATCCTCTTCCTCCGCACTCCAAAATATATTTAAATTGGTAGTATGGGCAAATCTTAAAGAGTTAACTATTTATCAGCAACTTCTTTTGAGACTCACATCTCTGTAAGATGACTGCAGTCGCACAATAGCTGCATACCACTAGGAAACACGCATCTGCACCCGTGGGCTGCCCCTGCAGCAGCGGAAGTCACTCTAAATTTAAGGGCCTGGTTATTAGCATGTGTGCTTCAGTTGCTTTGCGGAATGTGTGGGAAAACTGATTATTCTTAATTGCATTGTATGTCTAAAAAGCTAAAACAACAATCATGTCATCCTTACACAACAAAAATGGTATCATAATAAATGCAGCAATGTCTTTTTCCATGAAGCTTAACTCAAATGTCTTCAGCTGCTATTTTAAGCTTCCTGTTACAAAACAGCTGATTATTTGCCAGTCATTGCTGCTGATAAAGCAGAAACTTCCAAATGTTATTAGCACAATATTGATGCCAACATTTAAGGGTGATAACAATGGTTTTATTCATCACCCATAAATGTACGCACACTACAGGTTACCACAGGTTACTGTCTGGTCACAGAAAACTTCACAACCTTATTATACAAAGGAGAGTAAGGGCAAAGTGCAGACAGATTTTAATGAGATTTTGTTTTGATAAACTGCTGTCCATCACATCGAATCATTTCACATTAGCACAATAAGAGGCACTACACACACAAGGCAAAAGTCTTTTTCCCTTCCCCTTTTTCTGAAGAATGAGGCCTCTGATAAGACTCTTGAGAGCACGAGCGTGATTTAACCTGCTACTCCCATGTGGTATTCTGAGCAACAGGACATCACTCCATGAAGACAAGAAACCTTTGCTCACCTCGAGTACTGTGTTCAGTTTTGGGCCCCTCACTGCAGGAAAGACATTGAGTTGCTGGAGCGTGTCCA